TTCCAGGTTTTTTTCCATTTCCAATTTTCATTGCAGGGAAAACATTCTGTAATTTAAACTGTCATCTTTTTAGGGAGGGATAATTGAAGATACAGGTGATTACACGACTTCTTGCAAAACTAGAATTAAAAAATTGTATCCGCATGTCTTCTGTACTTGGAAGTCTTCTAGGAGCATGTGGGAAGTGGCAAGTAAGTACTGCAATAGTAAACGTTACAACAAAGGAACAGCATATTGTATTTTTCATAAGACAAGTTTTGGAGATCAAGAAAACGCAGTGTAACTTCAACCTCGGGTTCTGCAAGCTTCCAAAACAAGACTTCTGAAGGAAAAACAGGTTGTGTTGCTTTAAAAAAAAAAAAAAAAAGTACTCGGAGAAGAAAAACAGTACTTACAACAAATTCACTTTTTCTGTGTTTGAGATCATTACTGAAAGAAATACTATATATGGAAAGTACCGTGTGCTGGGATTTTTTTTGTCCAGTGAGGCGGCTGAAGCTTTAAGATAAAATTGTTGAATAGTTATTTGTTTTAACTGAAGCCCAGTAATGTGGTTTGCTTTTGTGTCTCTGCTTTGTTTGAAAGGTATAGGGAGGAAGTGATTTTTCTTGTAAATTGTGATTCTTTTGACAAAATAGAATAATGGCTTATATAGCACTCTGACAAATATTCAATAATGTGGGCTGTTTGGGTTTTTTTTAATTACCTTTTTGTTCACAGAGGCTTTACCGCCAAAATGAGGTGGTAAAAGTGGTAAAACTAACCAAGGCTTGATGCAGTAGGCACTATCCTTTCTCCTTTTTCTACAGAAGTATGGCATACGTGATCCTTCTGTCATTCAGCTTCAGAATAGCTAATCAATTTCAACCAAATCTGTCAGATCTCACAGTCACTACATTTTTACAATTTTTTTTTTTTAAGTGTGCAAGTGAAAGAGAAGAATGCAGAAGAAAGCTGCATTCTGTACTGATACCCAGTAATGCAGATATGGGAGAGACATAAGTTTCCAGGCATGAGACCAGCTTCAATTAGAGCTTGTACCTTAGACACAGAGGCAATTAATCACAGGCATAAATCCATAGGAAAGCAGCCTTCATTAGTTCCTGTGTTCCTGAAACAGTTTTTGAATAGATGCCTAGTTTGCAGGTAAGTAGAAGTAGCAGACCTCCAGTAATCCTTTCAGATGAGTTATATAGAGACCCTGATTGGTTTGGGAGTTGGGTTTTTTTACTGGTTCATGTGAAATTTGCTGCAAAAGCAAAATGGTACTCATGAGAATGGTATCCTGGCCTGCTGCGGTGAGTATAGTCATACTGAAAGACCATGACCATGTTTTAATCATAAAAAAAATTCATATTGTTAAGCCTTCTGTTTGCCTTGAGGTTAGTTTACAGCAAAATGGGACAGCATTAAAAACTCCTAGAATATGACCTCATTTGAGAAAGTAAGGCTCTTTTAAAGAAGATTTTTGCCACAAAAGACCTTATATGCAAGCTCAGACTTCTGAATTCTTCAGAAAACTTGTGAGACAAGCACACCTCCTCTAGCCTAAGATGTGAGT